GATATTGGAAATTGTGTGTGGATGAAATACGGTATAAGGCCTGTGGGGTATTCAGGAAATGCTGGCTTTAGCATCATCCTCTGTTTCTCCTACAAAAATACTTTGAACCTGGTCATATACAAGCTAGTAGAAGCCACTTCACCTCTTTTAAGAAAGAGGTGATCAGTGGTTAATTGCAAAGCAAAGCTGCCTACTTGCTGAGCTTATGAAACACTTCAGGCTTTTGGCATAAGGTGTTTGAGAAGGATCAACCAAAGTTATTTGAGTTACAAATGCTACAAAATAAGGACTGTGAACCTGAGGAAATTTCAAAAACCTGCCAAGACTTGACATGAAATATGTGTGTCTATGTATATATATATATATATATATATATATATATATATATATATATATACACACACATACATATATATATGCATATGTATGCATGCATGCATACATATACATATTTCTACTCACAGGTAAAATTTGCATTTTCAAACTGCATTCAACACGAACTTGATGTGTTTTTTTTTTTTTTTCTGTGATGGAGGGTCAAAGAGAGCAGAGGTAGTATTGAACAGTAGGCTGTTGTAGAGGAAACATGAAATGAAGGGGAGGAAATGAAAAAAAGCCTTCCTAGGTGAAGGCATATTGAACAACTGTGATCACCAGAATTAGATTCAGATACATATGTAGATTTTTCTCCCCTATAAAGAAGTCACAAGCTATATATGGCCCCTTACAAGTCTGTACGGGCTTGTGTTTTGTCTTGCCACACTTTGAGGGAATTTTCCTTCTTGGATGGAATCCTCCATCTAACATTTCCCACATGTTGAAGGTGTTCACACTGGCCCAGGATGAAATTCAAGGGGATTCCCAATGATCTTCTCAGAGTGAGAGATGTTTGAATCACATCCTTGCCCTCTGAGGCTTTGAGTAAGTCCTCAGCTATAGCCTGTAGCAACTAATTTCCTGACTGTCATGGCATTTCCCTTTATCCACTCCTCTTTAGGTTCCAGTCAGCCCCTTTGAAATGAGATGCTCAGCTCCCCCTGTCTTCAGAGAGGTAAAGGTACCACTCTGCTTTATCACCTGTGGAGCATACCGGAGTCTGTGTCTACTTTTCTAAAATGAAAATCAGCAGGAATGACCTGATTGCTATCTATCTTAATTTTGCTCAGGGCTGAAATTTGAACTCTTATAAGACAGAGTTGCATCACTATGTGCTGATCTTTGTTGTGTACCTCAAAAAAGGATTCCTGTAGGCTACTCTGTGAATCATTAAGACATCAATGCCAGTGAGGGGTTTCTCTACCATCTTGGCTATTCATAGAAAGGCAGCATTTCAAGTTCTGTACTTGATGAGCCTAACCTAACTTCCAGAAGCAATATAGAACAGAAGCAAGAGTGCTAGGGTTTCCGTTAGGAAAGCTTGGGGGTCACAGCCAACTCTCTCTCTCACTTAGGCAAATGCTGCAGCCAAGTCACTGAACCTTGAGCCATGATTTCTCTACTCATAAAGTGGAGATATTAATTCCTAACTAGAGAATTAGAGAATGAGATGAGACACCACAGGCAACCTCCCAGCACATGTGACACGTCACGAGCTGTGACTGCTCACTATTTTTGTGAATCTTATGTTTTACCACCACCAAGGGATTGCATATTTATAACCAACTAAATATTTGTAACCTAAGTTCTACTTTTTGACCTTCAATGGCTTCCGTACAAAGGGGCTTCTGCTCTGTGCCAGCTGGGCATTTCTTTTTTCCTATAAGAAAGCATGACTGTAATGCCCATAGAAATTCAGAGAGAAGAGACAGAGAGGTGTTCTTAGTTCCTTTCAAGCATTCAAAAGGGTAGGATTAAGGGGAATATGTTTTTCATTCTGTCAGTTTGAATTCCCTTTCCAAATTCCATTCTGGTTATATGATCAGGCTACTGCTGTATTTATGGGTGGCCACAGTCTGCCTGGAGGGGCATATTTTAGTCCAAAAGGAAGTTTTTTTCTTTCTTTCTTTCTTTTTTTCCTGAAGGCTGTGCAAGAAGCACAAATATTCAAAAGGCAACATGTGTTTCCCTGACTGATGACCATGGCAACCTGTCTGAAACCCCAGCCCTATCACTCCAAGTTTTAAGACCTTGGAAGAAAGACTCAGTGCTTTCCAAGCACTCTTTTTTTTTTTGGTCAGTTGTGGGGCCTGAACGCTGGGCCTGGGTGCTGTCCCTCAGCTCTTCAGCACAAGGCTAACGCTCTACCACTTAAGCCACAGCGCCACTTCTGGCTTTTTCCGCTTGTGTGGTCCTGAGGAATAGAACCCCAGGCCTCATGCATGCAAGGCAAGCACTCTACCATTTAGCCACCTTCCTAGCCCCTAAGCCAGCAAGCACTCTTGTCCCATCAGGACTCATCAGTCATGTGCTGTAAAGATATGCTGTGGAAGGAGGAAGGTGAGGAAGGAGGTGCTAGAGTGTAGAGCGCAGGCTCATTTATATATGTTGATGATGACAGGCATTACAATTCTTAAGTTTTAAAAACCTCCCACACTTACTCAAGTCTACTGGGGAATTGGTCCTATTTCCCCTTGTGACAAATGACTTAGTAGGAAAAAACCCCTCTTGAAATGCAGAATATAACCTGTAGGTACCCTGCCTGTGGAGGGATTTGTACCTATTGTTTCCCCTTCTGTAGGATCTGCTGCAAACATCCCAGGAAATGGAGGCAATAGGGTGAGATTTAGAACCTCTAACATTCCAACCAAAGCAACCTCACCTTTATCTGCTAATATACTGTTGGGTTTTGGTTGTTGTTGTTGTTTTTTTTGACAAGACCATTTAATTCATTAATTCATCTAATTCATTCATTTAATAAATGTTTCCACTGTTAAAAAGGAACTCAAAAGGCCATCATTTTAGAACATGAATCATGAACACATTTGTGTAAACTGATAATCAGGAAAATCATGGAAGACTCCACTTTTAAGAATTTGCCATGTATTATCCTAGGTTAAAAAGGCAGAGTCCTGGGAGATGGATGATAAAATCCCAGGGCTGAAAGTTAGTAACCTCTTGAGCAGGGGTAGAGAGGGATTAGCATAGAGAGTAGAATGGGATAGGGAAGCTAGGCTTTTAAACAAAGGCCTAGGAGAAGAAATGATTGGGGAGGTAGGCAGGACCCCTTTAATTCTTCATCCAGTGCACACCATGTGATCAAGTCAGAGAATCTATGGTAACTTTCCTGGAATGCATGGGCCCAAGCCATGATACCTTGTACATCTTCGAAGGGCTCAGATGCATACGATGCCAGTCAACTTTCCACTGGCTTATTTAACTTAAACAAACCTCTCCCCAGCCCTGAACTTGCATTGGACAAGATGGAAAACCAGCTGGGTTGGGCAGCAGTTTTCATTTCTAAAGCACATATGGAAAACCTCTATAAAACAAGGGAGGGGGGAAGTCCACAAAAACATGCAAAAAGGTACTCATTCTTAAAGAGGGCCCTCTGTCCAGCTCTCCCCTTGAACAGAAAACATTTACAGAGCTTCCCACACCACATGGTCCTTTATAACCCCCTAGCTTTAGAATCCACAAATGCCGAAATTCAAAACCTCATGACATTCTAGAACCAGAACTCGACATTTATATCCAGCCCTTGGCTGCTACCTTTACTCCACACCCTATGTGCCAACATCACCTCTAGCTTGTGAACCTCAGCCAGGTCAGAGACCTGACCTGCCAGCCCGGAGGGCACCCTCAGATGAGGCTAGATGAAAAGGTGGGAGAAGGGAGCAGAAGGAGGGAGGGATACACAAGAAATAATCCCAGATGGGCTGAGCACCCCTTTTAACTTTAGGGGGATGGCAGCATTGGGCAATGGCAGCAATTATCATGCAAACCGCCAGTTACTGAGCACTCAATGTCAATCTCTTGAAACCTCTTCCTCTCCTCATTTACACAGGAAGTTAATTACCCCCCCTCCCATTTCATAGAAGAGGGGGAAAAAAGACACACAGAGGTTACATAGTTTTCTAGGACAAATATGTGCTTAGCTCTGGTGTCAAAACATGAGCTCTAAATCCCCTTGTGACACTGATGGCCCCAGGAAGAGTACCCCCCCTCCCCATGTTTTTTTCCTAAGTCCACCTGGAGAGGTGGCTGGGCATGGTGTGTCTGGAGGCAGTTGTTCCTTGGGGCTTTCCTGTGATGTAATGAGGAGTGAGCTTGATGCTAGACAGATACATAGAAGGGCCTGGCTCTAAGGCAGCCCATGTAGGCATAGGCCCCTCCCCGCTGAGATCAGTGAATGAAGAGGTGTCCAGGAGAACAGAGTGCTGACCCTGGCGGCTCACAGATGTGTCCCACCCGCACCCCTTATCTGGCATCAGCCCACCCCTCCTCTCTTCTGTCAGAATCTAAGGAAGGTAGGGGTACAAATCTTTCTGTGTGGAAACTTGAGCCACAGTTCACTTTGGGATTTTGTACTGGTTAATTGGAGATCAGAGTCTTAAGGATTTGTCTGCCTGGGGTAACTATGAACCTTAGGTCCTTAGGTCTCAATCCCCCCTGAGTAGCTACAATTAGAGGTATGAGCCACTGGCACCCAGCTTAGATGTAAAATTTTATTCTTCCCTCAGTCCTCTATTAAGCTCCCCCAATCCTTCTGGGTGTCTGCACACACACAAAAAACTTTGGAACTTTGTTTCCCTCAGCCTTCCAGGAAAACAACAACAACAAATATCCACAGTTGAATCAGCCAGGTGAGGGGTTAAGAGAAAATTCGTACTTTTCCTCTGAAAGGAAGCAGAGAGGGAAAAAATCCAAAAAGTTTTTCAGAGTGCAACTCTTCACACACCTACATCAGACAGAGAAGCCAGCAGAGCCCAGCCCAGGTACACCAGATCACAACCAACAACGGTGAAAAAGCAGAAGTTTCAGAAAACCACAACCCACTGGGTACCCAGAATGCCCCATAGCACATCCTAAATTATGGTGCTGGAGAGAGAGGCCAGGCTTACCTGGGTTGGGAGGCTCTAGCTCCGTGGGTGCACCGGCTCCATGGGCAGAGTACCTGGCCTTGAGCAGCAGCCGGGGTCCCACGTGCGCCACCCCTCCCGGGGTCCCCCACCACCACCAACTGGAGCAGCAGCAGTCTGCGCAGACGGGAGCCGGTGTCTCCGCTGGAGGAGGAGGAGGCGGGACGGCGTGCAGGTCCGTGGCCGCACAGCCAGCTTGGGCTGGCTTATATAGGGAGCTCCTTCCCTGTAACGGGACGCCTCGCCTCCAGACATCCTTTCCCACTTTTTCAGTTGGTGAATTAAAGGAACAGCCCTCCCCACGGAACAGGGGGGGGGGGGGGAGGGGGGTTAGCTCCTGAGAGACGCGGGCGCCAGGCTCGCAGCCAGCCCCGGGAATCTATTTGCATACAATTTATGGCAAAAGTCGGAATTCCCGCTTCCTCCACCCCCACAGACTGGCTGTTAGGGAAGTGTGGTTCTGGCTCGGCTTTCGCAAGGAGTTTTCTAATTGTGAAACAGAAGCAGACACACACACACACACACACACACACACACGCGCACACACACACACACGAGCGCACACACACGAGCGCACACACACGCACATACAGGCGCACACACACACACGCCTGGGGCGCCTGAGGCAGAGAGGGATTTGGCTCTGCTCCTCCCTGCGCTCCTGGCAGGCTGGAAGCCGGACCTGGGCTCGCCAGGGCTCTGGGTAGCAGCTGCCTGGTAGCACCTTGGGGACCGAGCCGAGTTCCTGGAAAGTGGAGATAAAGCCCTTCACTAGCACTGGGAGATTCAGGTTTCTCTGGGTCAGCAGGCAGTGAAACCTAGGATTAGTTCTCAGCAGGTGGCCACCGTGTTGGGAGCTCGGTGGGTCTCCAGGGCGAGCCAGCCCTGCCCAGCTGCCCGGAGCAGTCCCCGTCCCAGCCCCAGGGTCTCCTCCAGGAATGGCTCTTTTTTTTTTTCCCTTGACATCGTTCCTGCCCCTGGGGAAGTTCCTTCTCTAGTGGATCTCCCGGGGAAGGGTCTTTGGGCTTTCCTCTTTGTTTTAAACCTTGTCCACTGCTGCCTGTTCTGGAAAGAAAAACAATTTTAAAAGGTAGCAACTTAATCTTTGAGCCCAGCCGGCGTCTTCTCTCCAGTCTGCTGCGGGTTGCTTCCAAGCTCTGAGTCATTAGTGGTTAGATGGTGAGCATGCACAAGTATCCCCAGGGCTCACAGGAGAGCTGCAGTAAGGAGGTGGAAGGGTAGCGGTCACCCCATGCTGGAGGGACTTTGGGGCTTGCTGTAGCACGTTTTGGGAGTAGTGCAAGGAAAAAAGAAGTGGCAGGTAGTAGGCAGCCTGTGATTTTCACTGAGCAAGCACTCTGTTAGGTGCTGTACAGAGGACTTCATGAACATGATTTCACTGCATCCTGGTAACCATTAAGGACAATATGAGCGAGTACCTCATTTTTATTTGTTTGTTTGTTTGTTTGACAGATAATGAATCCCAAGCTCAGAGAAGTAATACAATTTCACTGAGGAAAACCCTTGGAAAATATTTAGATTGTAACATTGGTTGCCAGTTCTTTGTGTGTGTGTAACACAGGTCTTTTCAGGAATAGTGACTGGTGATGTTTAAGTGATGTGTTATGCCCTATTAGGTTCTTTTAGCATCTGTATAGATGTTAATGCCATATTGAAATATGGAAAATATCTTTCTTTGTTGTGTAGACTTATTTAGGAGAGATCTCTGATTTTTTAATTAGTCACTTACTAATGGCTAATCCACCTGTTTTCAAAACCGAATTTTTTACTATGGCTGTTGGCCTCAGTTTCTACATCTGAGGAAAGCAAGACAGGATTAGATCATCTCTATTGGCTCTGGCATTCTAGAATTCTCCAATCACTCGACCTTCTCAGATAACAAGAAAGCCCATAAATAGTCATGTCAGAAAACAGCTCATTTGGACTTTTCAATCATTTTTGCTGGATTCCCATGTTGGTCAATCTGGAAGTTTTTAATTTTGTGTTTTAGCCAAAGCATAGTTCAGTAGCATGAGATTGTGTCTTTAGTACTGAATGCATCCATGCTTCTTGGCTTTCCTAAGTCTACCAAGCTTATCTCTTGGGTCAGCAAATAAAATGTTAAAAGAGTATGTATGTCATATGGCCAACAAACTATATTTGCATTACAAGAGTGTAATACATGCCATGTGGCCAATGAATTATATTTACATTTACTTTTCAATATACAGAGACTTAACTTATTCGTGGTTTTGACCACATGCAGTCAAAAAATAAATTAGAAAGTCAAAAGAAGTTTCAAAGAGAAAATAAGTTTAATTTCTTCTGATGGCAGGTGGCTCAGTCGATGTAGAACAGCTCTCTGTCATTTTCAAGTTATCATCAGTTGTGTTTGAATCCCTGCCTTTCATTTTGTGAAAACCTGCCTCTGTCAAAGCAAATGGTGCCCACAGAAAAAGGTAAACATGAATGTGCTTAATCTCAGTGTGAAATTGAAGTTTTGAGATGTGTTGAAAAGTAGAATGCCGTTAGTAGAAGCTAAGATGGGAAAAAAATGAATCAAGCATCTCCATCACAGAATTGAACCCCATGCATCTAGAACATTACTGCTTTTTCTTCATGGTAGTCTCCTTAGAACCCAAGATCTACTGTATATATTTGAAATCATAGGTTTGCATTTGATAAGACAAAGAAGCATGTCAGTTAACTCAATATTAAGTATGGTTTCTTCTTGGTTTCCCAAGCCTTACTGCCTTACTCCACACACTTCTTAGTATCTCAGTATTCTACATTCATTGAGTTGTGTGTGTTAGGAAAATGGAGAATGGAAAGGGAATGGGGCAGACTTGATTGTCAACAGGAAAGGACTGTTTATTGCCAGAGAAGGGCACAGACCTTCCCACAGGTTTAGAGGCGGTGTGAGGGGCTGGTTTATGGGGTAGGCTTCTATATGTCTTAACAAGGAAGCAGAAAATAAAAACTGGGCTATGGTCTCTTGGGAGTGGTGTCCTTGGCCCAGAGTGGAATGCTCAGCCTGGGGTGAGAGGACTTTCAGCTAGGCCTAGGTTGGAATAACCTGCCTGTAGATAGGCATGTAGTCAAGCCTGCTTATGTGCACCTGGTGTCTTGCTTGCCCTGGGGGATTAAGGCGGGAGTCAATCCTTCAGTGTGTACTGCAAGAGAATGAACAAAGCCAAATATGATCAGGCTACTGGCTCTGATGAATGAATAATTGATGTGTTAATGGCTCTCATACTGTAGAGAAGAGATGATTTGCTTTCTTTAGGCATCTTTAGTAAAGAATGCCTTCTCTATAAAGCTATGAGGCACCAGGCACCAGTGGCTGATGCCTGTAATCCTAGCAAAGCTGAGATCTGAGTATCAAAGCCAGCCTGAGCAGGAAAGTTTAGGAGACTCACCAGAAAACTGGAAGTGGTGCTGTGGCTCAAGTGGCAGAGCGCTTCTTTGAGCCGAAGAGCCCAGGGACAATGCCCAAGCCCTACAACCCACCAAAATAAATAAATAAATAAATAGATAAATAAATAAATAAGCAAGCAATGAAGCATCTTAACTCTGCCTTGACAATTGAATGAGGGCCCCTCAAACTAGAACTTGTTTTCTGTCTCTGGATCTTTCGCAGGCTCTGTTCCAGAATGATGGGTCTGCATTTGCCATATTGGTCTTCCATACCCAAGGCTTTGCTTACGTTTTGTGTTCTCTAGACTCCTTATTTCCAGCACCTGTCATCCATTTTTCACGTTCTTATCCAGCTCTCATGGACTCTCTTAGATTTATTCCCCCAAGAAATGCTTCCATGCATATTTTCAAAACCTGTAGAAAACTTACTATGCCTGTATGATATAATTATGCATGTGTGTGTCTTGTTTTATTTCCATGCCTGTATGATATAATTATGCATGTGTGTGTCTTGTTTTATTTCCTAGACTACCGGCTTCAAGTGGTCAGAAATCCTAGCTGCATTTTGTTTTGTTTTGTTTTGCCTAAAACACAGGCTTCGATATTGTAGAAATATTTGCTGAATGAAGGAAGCAATGGAGGAACCAATGAATGTCTAACATCCTATGCTTTATAATTCTTCCTTTTCACCATAGAACCTGAGGGGGAAACAGGACAACTGTGTCCATTTCATTCCTTGCACAGATGAGGAAAGGGAGTCTAGAGAGGAGAGATGGTTAATCAGAGACTCCTAAGGCCCTGTCCATGCAAATGGTCATCACAGTCAGAGCTGAGCAACCAGAACCCCCACCAGCATTACAGTAGAGGATGTCTGTGGGAGTTCACAACCATTCATCCTCCTGTTTGGCAAAGGACTCCACACCTCTTGGCATATGATCTCACACAGTCATATCCTTAAGTACCCAGTAAGCACTTATTTTTCTATGTGAAGGAGAAGATTGAATGCTTGTAAACACCACCTCTGCACAGACCTCTCACCGAAGACTGATTTGGTTGTTCCTTGCTGGCAGTTCTCATTCAGGAGTTGCTAGTGGAGGCTGTAGTTTGGAGGCCTGAAGGAATGTTGAGGTTTGCCTCAGATGAGATCATTCTCATTTTGTTAAAGATTCTTTAAATGTAAGACTCCATCCGCCCCTGCCACCCCCAGACAGACCAGACAGAGTGATTGGAATATTGGCTAGGACTAGCTTATCGGAGGAAGTCAAATGTCTGCTTTTCTGTGAGATCACTGGCTGGCTTTTCCACTGTCATGATGTGTTCTTTTGCAGCCCCCGACCTCCTCCTCTTCTTTCTGAAACTCATCTACTGTGCTAATACCCATTCAAAAGTCTCACATAATTCTGTAATTGTTAACAATCTCTCCCCAAGCAATGAAGGAACTCTTGTCCAACTTAGTGCATCGGTCATTCAATTTAATTACTAGTTTTTCCTTCTAGATTCTATGCTTTGTTTTCCCAAGTTATCTAAGTGTCTTTGTTGAGGTCCCTTCTTTTTCATCATTTAAGAACAAATAACCCCAAAAGTCTTCACTGAAGGAGAGGTGAGGTATT